CATCATGCTTACTTGAAATTATTCATTCATCTTATAAGGCGACCTTAAGGACAAAAATTAAACAAAACTGAAAGTCATTTGGATAAAATTTTGAATACTCTCTTCCTTTAGGAAAATAAAAAAATAAAAATAAAAATACTCCAATTGATAGTCGGTTGCAGAATATAGCAATGGGGGACCTCACTGGGGCGGTCGATTGCAGAATCCAAAAGCTGGTGTCTCCCCCCATGCGCATGGATTCATTCATTCTGTGAACGGAAAGATGAAGGGCCTTTTTAGTGGATTTTGGGGCCCTTTTTCATTTTTTGTATTTCTTTCTTCCATTCGTTGATCTACATGTAACAAAAGAGTTTGTTATTCTGTCAAACGATTTTCTTTTGTGCCTTTTTTTTTATATATATAATTTTAAATTTTTATCATCATCACGTATCTACTGAATCATATTGGCTCTGTCCAGAATTTTTATGTTTATCGTTATCATGAATTATCTAGTGAATCAAATCTGTCTCATGGAAGAGGCCATATCCCAATATAGATTAATACTAAAAAAAAAAAATATATGTTAGATTACACACATTTAACTGGACCATTTTGTGTGTGATCATTCTTAGGTAGATGCGATGTCATATTCTATTTCACGTTAAATCCATACATAACCATATAAGTATTCCTTTTTTGTAATTAGTTATATATTAGACGTTCATTTCGCCTCCTATACATGTATTTAAGAGTTGAAATGACGATAACTCAATTTTGATAAGCCATCGACTGTAAGGAAATTTCTTTTTACCCATCGCTATTAAAAAAAAATAAAAAATCACAATCAAGTTTAATCGTCGATAAACCTAAATATTTTATATGTACTATCAGTTTCATGAAGTTATCATAACACTCGACGCAAAATCCACAGTTCATGCAAAAAGTTAATCAAATACCAAACATAGAGGACGTGTGACTTCTTAACAAACGTTAATACGTCTGGAAATGATTAATGATTTTGCAAAAAAGTTAGCGTATAAACAATGAAGGTTGTCGAGCAAATGTCGTTCGTGAGCCTGTGCTTGAATAGTTCGAGAGCAAACAATATGATGATGTAATGCTTAGGACAATACGAATCACAATGTTAATTAAACCTTAAACTCCATATACATAACAGTGTAACTATGTTACTTTCCTCTTTTATGACATATAAAATGCTGAAGAGAAAACATAAGGAAACTTTCCTCTTATGGTTTTCTTTTAACTATGTTACTTCTTCTTTCTACCTTATTAATTTATAATTTGAAAATGGAGAAAGTAACGATAAATATTTTTTTCCCGACCATTGAAGGAGAATTGAGAAGAATTTCAATTTTGCATGATTGACAAAAATTAAGTCACGTCTTTATTTAGTTCCTCATCGACTTCTGGATTGCAAATGATACCTGTGCTGGCACATTGCTGTTGTCCGTGTTTATGGATATAAAGTATTCTTCTTGAGGGGGATTTCAGGTCCCCCACGAAGTTTAGGGTTATCTGCTGTTACTAAGCGTTCCATATAGTTCTTCTCCGCGTACCTTTCTCCTTTGGTGATGATATCATGGGACGGAAAAGTGACAGAGATCTGGAATTCATTATAACACATGCAAATGTAACCAGCCTAGCTAGACACCAATGCATAGTAATAATAGAAATATTGGAACAAAAATCATCATCCCATTTTTTGACAGATAATAATTCTTGATTAAGACACCACCATCGCACAGTATAGATTTCATTCACACAATGGAAACACAAAACAACCAATCATAGTGTTTATATATGTGTGATTTTTTTTAATAAAAAAAAAGAAGAACAAAATAAATTGAGAATACAGATCGTCTCCATATAGTAGTGTTGGCAAGCATCAAAAAGAGATATGGTTAGTTTCAAATTGGAATTTGATTACGATGACAAGGATTGATGGATTAGTCACAACCCTTTTTGATTTCTGCATAATTGCATTCATATAAAAAATTATCCTTAGTTTCCTTTTCAGTGTTTGATGGCCACATTTTGATATGCATAATGCTAGCTACTCTGCTGCTTCTTCTTCTACATTGTTCTTGAACTTTTTTTTTTCTTTTACCAAAGTTGTACAGTCCCCAAAAAATTGGGGGCCATCATTAATATTATTGAAAAATGTTGCAGAGGAGACAATTTGTTATGGAGGGTGTTGATCCATCATTTCCTTCCATTTTCACGTGTTGAGTAGGAAAAAGACACATAAACCTTGCACTTTTCCTAATTGGTTTGTGCTTATTGTGTTAGTGTGTGGGATGTGTCCGATGATCAAAATTCGATGTGTCCAGTTGAGGTACTTGTCTCAATCATTCTTAAACACATACTACCTCTTTAATTAAACTGTTCTTCGTGGGGGACCTGCATATTATTTTGTAGTGTAGTTAATTTGTTAGGCTTGCTTTTAGTACATTTCAATCTCCAAATCATCTTTGATAACCCACTAACTGAATGTTTTTGTTTAGAGGACTCCTATTGGATGATCTGGTTGGATCTTCCTTTTTGTGTGCGTGTATTATTGTTGCTTTTGCCAAACTGATATCAGGATTACATATGCATTAGTTTAGAGTTTTGTAGTTGCCAGATTATCATGGTCGGTTCTCGCACCCAGCTTGCCAAATTAAGGAACTAAAGAGAATGTCTCTTTTCTGGTCTATTTTAGGTTAAGGGTTGATTATTTAACAGTACTTAATAGTTTGGAGGGTGCAAGTGTTTCCTTGTATGATTTTGCAATCATTAAATCTTGTTACTCTAATGGTGCTAGTTACAAGATCAATGAAATTGTGGTATTATATACAGTACATATCATATTATGTCATAAAACCTTAGCTGCGAAAAAATGTCGGACTAATTAAGTTTCATCTTTCAAATACCAAAATAGGAAAACATTGTCCAAGTGACAGGTGCACATACTACTACGTTCTCCACACATAATAATTTTAACTCCATGAATGAAAAAAAAAAAATTAAAAGAGAATATTTAATAGTTTGGCAGCAGTGCACCATCACAGTATTTAGTGGGATCATTTCATAGATTAACTAATGTCTTCTAACTCAATCTATTTTGGTAGTTTGGCCATGAAATAAAGGAAAAAATTAAATGGGATGCGGAAAAATCTTATAGTTTTCTTTTTTGGGGAATGAAAGAAATACTTCCTACTAAAATGAATATGCAATTTAAAATTTCAATTTTAAAAAATAATACTAAAAGTAAAAATATAAATAAACAATCATACTATAAGCTTTTGGGGGGAATGAAAAGAATAATTTCTACTAAAATGATTATGAAATTTAAGATTTCTCTTTTAGTTTAAATTATAATCTTGTGAAAATTGAACTGAAACAAGGATGAAATCCGAGACAGAGCCCAGAGTAAAGCAAACTTGATAAAGCCCAATTAATGATAGATGGACTAAAGCCTATTCTGTAAGCTGGGATGACCCACGAGAGCAGCTGAGACTAGCCCAAATGAGTATTGACAAAGCTCAAAATGATTTGTTTTAATAAACAAATAAAATAAATGCATCATACGTTAAAGGCATTTGTTGATAATGGAATGTTTGCAAATCCTTCCGTTAATTGTAACACACAAGTACCATACATATTCATGTTGCAAAGTCTCTTGTTTCTACCAATTCAACGTGTATATGTATAAGTATTTGTTGATTATAAAATAATACAAAATACAGTATTTTTTGTAGCTATATATTTTGTCAAAATTGCTAAAATTGAAAAAAACATTTAGGGCCCAAGTCTATGGCCCTAACCAAATGGAAAGAGAATTCGTGTAAATAAGTGATTAAACATTGTCAATTACTTAACTAGTGTCACAAAAAATGTAATACAAAAGTGTCACAGAAGATCTTTTGCCGTCTCTATGTATTTATTGGGCGGACAAGAAACTTTTGTAATTGATTGTATGATTGGTAGATTGGTCTCATTTGAACAATTTGGCTAATACTACCTTTCATTTTGATGATGAATTGCCGGTTTGTGAAGTTGGGATTTCCGGTTGATCGTGTGTGCGAACGGATGAATTTTGAGCAGTTCTTAACTAAGGTTTTTCTTCGCAATAATTGTCAAACACTGGAGCAGGTTTGTCTCGCTTGGAAACGTGGACCCCCTCAAGAAGGTTTTGTCCCTCTGTATGGATCAGCGTGGCAATTGCTAGGAACGTTAAAAGTTTTGATACTCAATGTTCCTGGTGATCTACGGGAAAAGTAACTTAATCGGGTGTAGGGACTGAGGTTTTTTACTTTTACATCCTGGGATCCTCTTCATTCAGTTGTTGTGTACTACTACAATTCGCTAGCTAAATTCATACTGATTGTCTTGTCCTGTGGGGATTACATCCCTAAGCAACACTATATTAATCATGTATCACCTCCGTCCTAATTCACAATACTCAAAACTTAAAAATCGACTATTTTTTTAGTATGAATGGAATACGTATATAATAAAAAGCATTAGATCGGCCGAGCTCAACTCTGTCTCAAAGACTTATTTTTGTAACTAAGCTTTGCTTCCTCTCAGTATATATGTTGCTCTTCGGGAGTTTCTATGTTCCTGTGATCTGATTCTCCTTGAAGATTTAACTTGGGTATCGAAACAGAGCCAGATCAAGTTCATCCTTTGCCATGCAATTTTTTCACATAAAGAAAAAAAAGGCCAAAAGTTACAGAACTGCCGCCTTAGGGTTTCCATGTGAATATGTGATAGCTAGTCTCACTTTTTTTTTTTAAAGAGGTACGTATTTCAGGTGTTACAATTTTAAGACACCTAGACTATTACATAAGATCTATAACTACACCGGTACAACTTTTAGGATTTCCATATTATAGCTAGTATCACTTTCATTCATCATATTCTTATAATAGAGATGGTTTATTTTCACCAATCCAAACAAACTCATGATCCTATCCATTTCAAGGAAGAAAACAGATATGAAAAGAATAAAGCAACGAAAACGAATTAGATCATACGAGTGAAATTGGTTCAAAATGGACGTTTGCAAAAGTCTTCTGGTATCGCACAAGGTTAATACATATTGATGACACAAAATCCCTTAGATCTTGTCAACATCCTGTATACATGTCATTGAGCACTTTAACCACCATTTACAGTCCGGAAAAGTTAAAAGTCTAAACATTTACAGGGCCAAAAAGGGACCTTCAAATCTGCCTAATATTCACAGCATCTTCGACACCAGGAACCTACAACTCAATTTAGTTCCATCTTAATGTGTGAGTTCTTGGAGAAACCGTATTCCACCACTTTCTTTGGAACATCAGGGGCTACTATGCAGCCACTGTTGTAACCATCTACAAGCAATTTCCCTATTTTCGATCTCCACTCTGCTGGGTTCTCAGCTTTCCTGTCATGCACAACTCTATCACAATAGTTTAGCATGTTTCCCAGACCAGTATTTGGTGTCCAACCATATTCTGCTAAAACCTTGGCTTCGCCTTCTGTCAAGTCCTCGCCTACCTGTTTCATTCAAAAGAATACCAGATTACAAAACATTTGATTGAACTAAAAGATTACTGAAATCAAAAGGCAATAAACCAAACAGTAGTTAGCGCTTAAAGATGAAGAAATATACATAATTTCAATCGACAACATTGAGTTCAACAAAGTAATAATGCAATTCAAATGGCATTATGCAAAAATATTACCACTAGCGCTTTATTCTCGAGTAACGTCGCCCGGCTACAGTTGGTTAACTTCATAACAGTAACAAGCCGAGTTATCTGCCAATTGATTGGTAAGGTATCCATCAACTCGAAGAAGTAGGTTGCATAGCCATATTCAGGACGTTCAAGCACAATCCTGTATGTCATTTGATGGATTCAGATACCCTAGAAAGAATTTTTCAAAATAGGGAAAAATTGAAAAATTCTAAAATGAGCCTCAAACCTACCTGTTATGTCTTGCAAACACAAATATGAATGCCTGTAGGTCTCGGCACCAACCCCATTCAACAGGCCACTTTCGAAATCGTAAATGCTGTGCCTGAAGGAGAAGACAATAATGCCAACTGGTCATGCTTGGATCAGAATACATGGAAGTGAATTCGACGAAACCAGCGAATCAGAACACCATTGATACCACATTAAATAAAAAGCTTTACCTGTTCCACAAGTGAAAAGAGACAAGCTAAACAGTAGCTAGCTTTCTCACCCTTCGAGCACCGCAAGGTAGAAAGCTTCAACAATGAGGCCGGCTGAGAGAATATCTATCAAAAATAGATTCATTGGGTTAAGGAGCGTTTGTTTTAATCAGAGAGAATTACTACTGAAAGAGCCTTGGAATAATAAATAACAAACACCACACTGGATTAAACGTTAAATAAAACAGATGTGAAGAGTCTTTCAAAAACCTTCGAGATAATAGCTTCAAGTTCTGTAAAGTTGTCTTCAGAGAGCAAATCATCAAGAGCATCATCATGCTCTGGTTGGCCATAAAGCTTAATTTCATCAACTGACACACCTTTCCCAATTAATACCTACATGAATCAACCGCCAGATAAACAAAAGTTGTTTGGGAAAAAAATGTTATAACATGCATGCTACCTGCAAAAGTCCAGGAGCATCTTCCTCCAATGCTCTCTCAACAGAAGCCCTGCATTATTAACAAAATTCGGTAATAAATGCTCTTAACATAAACATTTTACCTGACCGCACCAATGAAAAATCTTTTTTCAGTCAGAAATTCCAGATGACTTACGTGGCTGTTTTTCTTTTCTTTAGACGGTTTATTTTCAAAGGCTTCAGCGATTCTTTTGCAATAGGTTCACAATCTATTGCAGAAGGAACTATCTTGCCGGTACATTCCAGTTGGTGGACATCCAAACAAGGCACGTATGAAGGTAACAATTTCATCCGCTCCCTCAGCAACATATGGTCAAGTATATCTTTCTCAAAATCATATGGATTGCCACATTCAACTTTCAACAGATTCACTTTCTCAACAGGCAAGGAAGTAAGAGAAACTTCTCGGATGTTTGTTTCATTGATATCGATGGGTTCTACCTTGACACCAACAAAATTAGACATGGATAAATTAGGCATATGTAACAATTTCTGTCTGCTGACAGTTCTGACTCCCGCAACATTTTTCTGCAAAGAGCTCAGTCCATCCATCTCTTCTATCCTTGTCATGTTTCTAGACTTAACCTGTCCGCTTTCATGACAATAATACTCAGATGATGAACTTGTTTTATCCAAACGGGGTACTGTGCCAAAAGCATTTGAAGAACCAGATACAGAAGTCCTCTCATCACCACAACCACGGTTTTCACCCATAGCAAACTCTTTATCATCAAAGAAAACCTCTACTTTGATAGTCTTGGTACTTGGATGGCACAAATTCTCCACAGCTGGAGCAGGCAACTGTTTACGTTTACACTGTTCATCAAGCGACAATAAACAATAATCAAGTTAGCAAGTTCAAAACAGTCAAAGGAAAGCAAAAGGAATTTGCATGAAAGTTAAATTATTCATTTCCTAGGAACAATTAATAAGAAAATGAAATCCAAAATTGACCATGATAGTTATAATTACTAATGACTACTTCTTGGACGACGCTAGAGTTATAAAAATAAGACAACTATCCTAATCTTGGTATGCTTGTCAGAGCTCAGATTCCACAACCATTAAAGTATACGACCTGCTGGAATCGAACCAGCAACCAAGAGGAATGTCCCCTGCTCTGCCTCTGAGCTAAGGTCGATCAGAAAACAACGTTTTCACAACATTTTGCGTGAGTGGTGCGAACAAGGTCAAAGGGAGAAATGCATAGGTAGGCACTTATAATGAGCAAATCAAGAGAGAAGCTATAAGAAGTAAAAACTTTCAGAGTTCAATCACCCCGGTGGCAAACTCGCAGAAGGAACATAAAAGTTTAAGAATGCAAATTAAATTTCCCCCTTTAGTTTACCAACTGACATTTCTTCTAATAAAGCTTTCTAATGACTTAGTCTTTGTTTAACAATATCTATATAATAGGAGTGAACATGATCGTGAGGCAAATGTTTGAGCCTGACATGCTATTAGAGTGAAAGCGAGAGAAACAAGTCATTTGACTAAATTACTCTCAATAGTTTCACTTTAGTTTTAAGAGCCAGTCACAATATCCATCTAAATCGTTTACTGCCAACTATGTTAAAGAAAAATACATGGAACTCAACTATGTTTACTGCCAACTGAAAGGTGATAATTTAATACCTTTAGTTTTACAGTATCTTAAAAGCCTTACCTGACTAGCAAAGGATGGCATTTCTGTGCTCCACATTGTGGAAACACAGAAGCTAGATTCAGAAACATTGTGCTGGCATATGTAAATGTCATAGAAAGACCAAAGAATTGCATCACCTAATGCTAAAAAAGATAGCAAGGCAGAACTACATATGTTTAAGTTTGACTGGCTTTAAATTTAATAATGTGGCATTGAAAAAGTTTAAGACTACACATGCCACCCAGAGAAAAAAGGGGAAAAAAAATCATTACCTCCAAAGATGTCTGGGTCAAGCCACATATTTGACTGCAACATGGAAAAAAAAGGATTAATTTGGTAGTCTCCAGAGCATATATTTAAATACAACGACAAATGTGAATAATTTAAACTCAAATAAATGGACTTTCACCATGCAAAAATAAGACCAGTAGGGCAATCTTAAAAGGTATTATGATGCTAAATAATGGTGTATCTATAAAAATCTAGAAAGCTTTCTGTGAAATGAAACAATTACGAAAGAATAACACCTTGAAAGAAGCAGTCTCTGACGTTCCTTAAGCACAATGTGATCAAATTCATCAACAAAAGCAGTGGATTTCTGTTCAACAGTTTCTTTTCCATGGAAACTACCGCCACATGGATCATTTTCGACTGCAGTTAAGGAACTGTTGCCCGGACTCATACCATCCATTCCCCTAGATTGCGACGACATGATCGGACGTGAATCAGAAGCATCATCCATAACCTTAACTTTGTCTAGTAGGTCAGTGCTGGGGTTAACCACATCAGCTTCCATCATTTCGTCATCACAATCGCCCCACTCACCTAAGCATTTTGAAGACACAAGACAATTTTAGCAAACAAAATTGAACTAGGACGACAAATTGAACCATACATTGGGCAGTATTGCAACAGTGACCACCAGTAACTAGAATACTAGCATGAAACTCTTACCATTGTAATGTTGTCCACTAGACCAACTCCCTGACTTTCCTTCAAGAAGAGAACTCCTAGGAGAGAAATACTGCACCAAATTTTCTGATTGAGTGGTTGTAGCATAGAATAGATCACACATAAGTCTAGGAGATCCTTATGATAATTCATTTTTTGATCAACCAATCCATTCATAAAAGAGATGTTTAATTACATGAAATTTTACCACAATTATTAGCTTAAAAAAACTAACAAGATACCAGCAACAAATGAAAAAGGAAAACGAAGAACAAGAAGGGCATACATATCATTAAAAAAAAAATTTAAAAAAAATCCATGGAATGAAAATCAGAAGCAAAGATATGACATCAAAAGAAGAGGATAAAATGTTCATATGTTTACTTTGACGGATAAAATCATCCATTCGTGAATTGAAAAAGCAAGACAAAACGTTTATCACCTCCGAATCACCCTCTCCATCTCGCTTCTTCACAACACCATAGTCAGCCTTCCTGCATTAGGGTCAACACAAAACTCAACCACTAAACCTTCAAAGAGATCACAGAATTCAAGAAAGAGATATAATAAAACGCTCACGGGAACAAATCAAAAAGTTCATCGTTCTCTGAATCGCCACCGGGAAACAAATCCGAAAGTTTACTGCGAGCCAATAAAATCTTCAGCCGCTGTTTCAATGGCAACCGGTCGTGCTCCTCCGACTCAAAATTAGTGTCCTGGACTTCAACCTTGGGCTCAATCAAACCTGCTGACGCTTCCCAATTACGCAATTCACCCATTTCTGCAACCAAGAGCACGAATACTTTCACATTCCAACACAATCTAAACATTTTTTTTAAAAAAAAAAAAGTGCCCAAAATTAAAATCCGGCGGTTACGGGAATCTAGGGTTATGAACAATTAAAAAATAAATGTAAGGAAAATAAATCGGGGGAAGATCGAGTACCAGTGGTTTTCGGCAAGGCTAAAGTTCGTAGCGGCGGCGGTGATGCGGTGAAGTTTGGTCATGCGAATTTGCGCGCCATAGGGAGGATTAGAAGTGAAGAAGAGACTGATGAGAGAGTAGAGTGAGGTTGTTTTTCTAGCATTTTATATGAGTGGTAAAAATATCCCCAGTAATAAGTACACCAGGAACAACCCAAAACTTTGCACTCGTCGTCAATCATACTCAATAGATTTTCGTTTAGCCAACTTTAGCCTAATGTTTGAAATTTTCGCCAATTTTATCCAATCGGCCCATTTTCCGTCCAAAATAACGGATCCTCGATAGTGTTTTAATAAAATAATAAATTTAATTACAAAAACACCTAGTAATTTTTAAAATTTTAAAAATAACCCTTAAAATATATAAAAATAACAAAACAAAACATTTTCATTTTTTTATTTTATTTTTCTCTACTTTGTTCCACTTCTCTCAACTACTTTTAATGACCATAAAAGTCTATTATATGAGTTTTAAAAAAATATTTATTTGTTTTCAAACTCTACTGTAAAAATTAATCTTTATATAGTTGTAACCCATGATTGTATTTATATAAGCATGTTAATTTTTTTAATAATATAATTTAGCAATAAAGACACTATTTTTCTAATTTTTTTTATTCTTCCTAATATAAAGATTAAAAACATTTAAATGAAACTAATATTTTACGTAAAATAAAATATTAGCTCAAATAAAAACGTTTAAGATTGGGCTGAAATAATTTCCTCATCTCAGGAGTTGAGGAAAAAAGAACAGTTGATAATCTTATTCGTATCAGCCCAATCTTAACTGAAGTGAAGATGCCCGAGGTAGTAGTACATTAGTATTCGGCCCAGCCCGTCACAAACACTTCGTATAACTTAGGTAAAGATTTATACCGAGGCCCATTTTGATATGTTCTACCCCACCCATTTGAACGCATTTTTTACCTGTATTGCTACTATACACTTGTGAATGTTCTTTTCTACTCCTCCCTCAAATTTACAGTGGGAGCGAAAGCTCGGATATAATGGTTTTCATTCGTGCCGTTCATCATTATATGACATTATCGGTGTACCAGGTCCGACCTAGAAGGGTGTGTAGAAGGTGCTTGACACTAGGGCTCTCAAGAAATAAAAACTCAAAAATTATATAACTGTTGGACGAGAGTCATATATAACATATTCGTTAAAAATGTATTTTATATCATAATACAAAGTGGACTCTAAGTGATTAAATAATTTATGGGCCATGTTATAATTAAATTCTTTAGATCTATATTAAGAAAAAAAATTATATTTAATATTAGAGCTTTTTTTTTTTTTTACCTGTTTGCAATAGGGCCCAAAATTGTTTGGATCGGCCCTGCGGTGTACTTACCAGATGTTTAACAATTGTTTTTCAATATTCTCTCTCTTTCATTTTACAAAAAAAAAAAGAAAAAAAGATTGCGAAAATGAGTATCTACGTATCTACCATTTCCAACCGGAAAGCTATATACATTTCATCAAAAAAAAAAAAAAAAAAGAAGACGAAAACAACTTTACAGTCGCAGTAAAAAGTAAACCTAAAATGACTTCTTGGATGAACAAAAAAATATATGTGATGAAAAGAAAAGGAAAAACTAAAAAGTACTACGGTGTAATACTATAATAGTGTATGATTTACAAATAAAAAATAATGTGACCGTTGAAACCAGCTGGATGTGCTTCTTCGTACAAGTCAAGAACCCCATCGGAGATCCTCAGGGTTTGAGTCATTTGCTGTTACTTTGGGGTCACTGCCTACCATGATCTTATAAGCTTAGTTAATTCATGTAATCATATCCACATTGATCTTAATTAAGTGAGTAATGTAGTCTAAATTTGAGTATTGAACTTGTGTTTATAATACAGAGCAAAATGGTTTTATACTTCTAATTACAAAGATCATTTTGGCATTTTCGGTTGCCCACACCTGAGAGGTCGCCCCACTCCACATGCTGCAGCTCTGCAGCAACAAATTGAGCACAAAAGAACAAAAAAAGCCCTGAAATTTGCCCTCTGATAAAAATACATTACTCTGTACCATTTTCATTTGTCCATTGGTAACGGCTACCAACAAAGCTGCTTTTACTTCATTCGTTTCAAGACAAGACTAGTCTCCCTCCTAATTAACTGTACATTTCACAGTCTTCACTGTAATCACGACTGCTCAGTTTTAAAGCGAAACTAGCCTAGGTGGGGGTCATTTCCCAATGAATCTTTGTAGTTACCAAAAATTTATAGGAAAAAGTAAAAATAAATAAAAAAGGGAAAAAGGGAATCGGTCCTCCCTCTTTGTAATTGTAATACTACTGTAGTAATAATATTAACAAGCTAGGAAGAAAAGGGTCGGACTCTATTGAAGAAAGATGATCCATCATCTATAGCCGTTAGATTTCTCTGACAAGAATTTAACTTGGGGTAGATTTCAGAATCGCTTATTCCCTCTTAAATACCCATCTATTCAACACTGTCCCACTCTTTCTTTTCTTCAACTTTGCTTCATTTCTTTCTCTGAGACTGTGAACCACCTTCTTCCTCATTTTTCTCCTCTTCCCAAGTTTTGCAATTTATTCTTCAGTGGGATTTTAAGGAGTTGGATTTGGTATGGCATTACTGCTTCTTTTGCTTCTGGTAATATCAGCTTCCTCTGCTTCTGCTGATGAAGGTGAGGTTTCAAATGTAGACCCTAAGACCATTGCTGCTTGTTCTTTGTTCCTGCTTTGGATGTAACTTTGATTTATCTGTTGAATGTTAAGTGTTTCTCTTGAATTCTTTTGATTCTTCTAACTTCATAGCTCTCGTATGTGGTGTGGGGTGGTTGGTGTAATCAATGTCCAGTCATTAATGAGCTTAAATACAGTTTCTCATTTGCATATGATGTCTTTCTGAGATCCAAATAGTTCCTACACTATTTTGCAATCTTCATTGTGAAAGGGATGTTTCTGTGAGTGCTTTAGGATCATAAATATTCAAAAGACAGTTTTTTTCAACTTGTCTGGAACTACCTTGAAGTTTAGCTGATTGGCTCTTAATGGTAGATGGAATACTTGGTGGGGCAGTATTTCCCCTTATGTTTTGTGGTTCGTATTTAAAGAATTGTCTTTTATTGTTCATCATTACTGGAGACAAACCATACGCGCCAATTATTGGAATTTTAGTAACATTCTCTGTGTGTGTTATTTTGGTGTCACGCTAAACCTTGACAATGTTTTCTTCAAAAATTCTAACTTAATTCCCAACTCAATATGGGAAACAGGATTGACCAAACAAGGAATCCCAAAAGAATTATAAGGAAGAAAAAAAGGTTCTTGATTTTATGTCACATTACATACTCTGTCAAAGTTGTAAATTTGGAGTTCTTGCAAGTTTTTTAGAGCCTGAAATAGTGTAGAGAAGTTTGGTGGAATAGAATTATTTCACTGATCATAATAAACTTACACTTGCAGATATGTGAGAAGAAAATATGCATCAGTGCAGGCTATCTATTATCCTGTGCTTACAACAGAAGATCGCATTCATTAAGACTTCAAAGAAAAATTAGACTTTTGCCCCTTCTGCATAGCAGTTGGAAACTTAAAAATTTGCTTTCAAACCGAGTTTGATTGTCCACGAGTTACTTTATGAGTAAATTGAGTTCATTGCCTGGGAGGTTGTCGTATATGCAGTTTGCATTTTGTTTCCTCCATAGACTGTTAAATGCATACATGATCCACATACTCTACAATATACCTGAGGAAAGACTATGCTTTGATGTTTCATTATTCATTTGTCTTGCAGATGCATTCATTGGAGTGAATATAGGCACAGATCTTTCTGACATGCCACACCCAACACAAGTAGTAGCCCTTCTAAAATCCCAGCAGATCAAACATGTTCGGCTGTATAATGCTGATCGTGGCATGCTTCTTGCTCTTGCCAATACAGGAATCAAAGTCGCTATCTCTGTCCCTAACGAACAACTGCTTGGAATTGGGCAATCAAACGCAACTGCAGCTAATTGGGTCTCACAAAATGTTGTGGCACACTACCCCAGTACCAATATAACTACCATTTGTGTTGGTTCAGAAGTTTTAACTTCTCTTCCAAACGCTGCACCTATACTTGTCAATGCCCTCAGGTTCATCCATTCAGCTCTTGTGGCCTCAAATCTTGACAGGCAAATCAAAGTGTCAACACCTCTCCCTTCCTCCATTATCCTCGATCCCTTCCCCCCATCTCAAGCCTTCTTTAACCACTCCCTGAATCGCGTACTAGTCCCGATGCTTAGCTTCCTGCAATCCACAGGATCATCCTTCATGCTGAATGTTTACCCTTACTATGATTATATGCAATCTAATGGTGTCATTCCTTTAGATTATGCACTCTTCAAGCCTCTGCCAGCAAACAGAGAAGTTGTCGATGCTAACACACTGCTACACTACACCAATGTGTTTGATGCGGTTATTGATGCCGCGTACTTTGCAATGGCCTCACTTAACTTCACCAACATACCTGTTCTAGTGACAGAGTCAGGATGGCCATCAAAAGGTGACTCAAAAGAGCCGGATGCCACATTGGAGAATGCCAATACTTACAATAGCAATTTGATAAGGCATGTGCTAAATCATACAGGAACTCCCAAACATCCTGGAATCGCTGTTAGTACATACATTTATGAGCTTTACAATGAAGATACAAGGCCTGGTCCACTGTCGGAGAAGAATTGGGGACTGTTTGATGCCAATGGCGCTCCCATATATGTTTTGCACATAACAGACGCGGGATCAGTGTTGGCAAATGATACCACAAACCAGACTTACTGTGCTGCAAAAGATGGAGCAGATGTCAAATTGCTACAGGCAGCTCTTGATTGGGCATGCGGACCTGGGAAGGTGGATTGCTCCCAACTTGCACAAGGACAACCATGCTATGAACCTGATACTGTGGCGGAACATGCAACTTATGCGTTTGACGCTTATTATAAAATGAACGGGAAGGATCCAGAAGCTTGTGACTTCAAAGGAGTGGCTGCAATCACCACTTCAAATCCAAGTAAACCAAACAGCTAATATTCCTGCTTTTTTTTGCTTCATATCTTATGAGACTGGATTATTTTATTTACATGACTAATCAATGTGTTTGTTCTGTTCCTTTGCAGGTCATGGATCTTGTGTGTTTCTTGGAAGGTGCTACTTTGTTTAAAAATATATTTTATTTTTTTTAGATTATACGGTTGATTAATTTTACAATAATAATGAAGAAAACATGTGCACAACTTGTTTGTTCTGATTTTTTTTTTTTTTTGATGTGGATAAAAGCATTTACTCTTTGTCATCACTATATACTCTTCCAGTCATTAAGTTTAAAATAACCACAGTCGAATCATTACTAAATGAAGCTTTTCTGCTTTTCAAACTCTTGCAGTAGTGACAGGAATGGCACCTTTCTGAATAGCACAGCTCCATCTGCAGATTCTAAGAGTTCCAATTCTCCCATCAACCGATTGCATGGGAACTATGGTTTCTCGACGTGCTTGATGATAATGATTGCTGTTGCTAGTGCACTAGTTTTGTAGCCTCATATGTGCCAACTGCAGAACCTTGCTAATTATTCGAAGATCATAGCAAAATGGTGATTGCATGGACAGTTTTGGGCGTATATTGGTGCTCGTTAGGTTACTAGATTCAATTTCAACATCAAACGTGATGTATCTTTTGGTAGAGGAGCCCTTTTGTGGTTCTTCCAAGTCTTTTCTTCTAAGGCAGTAGGAATTTATTTTAGGAAATTTTTTCATGTAGGATATGCGTTCATTGATCCATATTAGTGGCAGAAGGAGAAATCCTTTCCAATCTGTTTGTATCATTACGAAATCACTCCATTCATTCTTGTTTTACTTTCCACTGGCAGAATTTCACCGGATGATTTTGCTTCCAGCTGCAAAGTGAATCAAAAGCACTAAAAAATGAAAAATGCATGTTGTGCCCTACTGCCATTAGTCGCTAAATATTTGATACAATAATTTAGATAATCTTTTTAGGGCAGAAGATTTTTTTTTTTTTTTTTTGAAAGAGAGAAATTTCATTACGTTGTTAGAAATCAGTCAGCTCTGATTGATACAAACTGTCCAACAACGACTGACTGATGGGAGAATACAATTACTAAATTATGGGGCAGAAGAATATAAAACAATGATAAATATGTTAAGTTTGGGAAGGAAATTTTTTGAAATAATAATAATTTTTTCTTTTTATTCCACTAAATTCGTTTGCAATAATTAATTGGGTTTCAATATTCACATCATGAGGTGGGATGGACTAAATTACGACCCACTTATCAACTCTTTTAGGCCCACAGTCAATGAATGATGGAGCTGAAAAACCCTAGCCCAATATCCTATATAACTCTCCCTTCTTCCCTGCATCGCTCAAACCCTGAGATACCGAAGACTGAAGTTGCAGATGTATTTTTCCTTTCTTCCCTTATTTTCTTCACCTGAAAGTAGTTCACTTTTAGTTCCAAATGCATCCACTATGATTTCTTCTGTTTCAACTAAAGTAACAGACGAAATACGAAAAGATGCGATATCGAAAGGTGCTTATGGACACGCAGTTTTCAATTAACAACCCGTGGATTCATGCGTTTTCTCGTAGGTTCCACATTCTTTTAGCTTTTTCTTTTTTCCTTGAATTTCATTGAATTTCAAGATTGATTCTTTTGATGCTCGATGATGATTGTTTTTTGCTTTAACCACACCGAATTGAGATTTGATGTATAGCGAAATGTGCCCTCTTGGATTCAAGTTCTTAAGGAAATGTTTTGGCTCTAATTTGATAATTTGGAAGGTGAATTTTGGTGGGCTTGACGATTCTTTGCTCAATTGGGTGAATGATGAAGGTTTCCAGTTCACTTTTCAGATTGCAGAATTGAGAAAAGATGTTTCCTTTTGCTTAAATCTTTGAGGTCTCTTTTACTATGCTCTGTTCTCTCATGTGGAAAACTTTGGCCTAATTCTGAGAGCATCAATCTAATCCTTTAAATCATTCCATTTTGATTTTTGTTATAAGCACATTGGATACAACTATTATAAATTTGCTATTCAGTTTGAGTTTGTTGACCTAATCACTGAAAACTGCAACTTATTTTGATGATTTGATCTGGCACGAACACAACATGCTCCCGAATTAAAACTGAAAAACGAAATTGATAAATTTTAGACTGAACTTGCTCGCTTTATGATTTAAGCCTAACCTAAGAAAGCAATAAATTCTCTTCTCAAGAAAGAAAATAATGATGCCCTCCTGAAAAAACCTTAGCTTGGATTTAGAAGAGCCCTTGGTTGAAATTTACAATATGCTTGAGTATTTCCAATTTACAAAAATTGTCTAATTCACATCTTCAGCATTACAATGCAGATTTGGAAACCCACCTTGAAGCGGAACAGGTTGGGTGTGATTGGGGAATATACCAGAGAAAGAGATAGGGATTCAATGACTTGTTGGACTAGAAGACTGTTAAGATATAAGGAAAGCCTCAATGACTTGTTGGAGAAGAAGACTGTTAAGTGTGTCATCTGTGAGAAAGGAGCTGTGGATAGAAAACTGCACGTCCCCATCATCCAAGAGATATATATGTACACCGAATGTAGTTGACACAGGTTATCAAACTTTAAAGTCTCCCTCCATTGTTTCTCTGGATTCTACAGATGTCTGGGATTCTGGGCGAATCTATTCTGGTTTGTCATTTGTTCAAGCTTCATATGATGATAGCATAGCTAATAAAATTGATGGGCATTTGATCGCTGAAGAAATTCGGCGGGGCATTGCATCTGAAATAAGCCGCATGAAGGCTTCCATTGGAGAAGTACCTGGATTGGCTGTAGTGTTGGTTGGTCAGAGGAGGGATTCACAGACTTATGTTCGTAACAAGATTTTAGCCTGTGAAGAGGTTGGGATCAATTTCGAGCTGACTGAGTTTCCCGAGAATTGTACTGAAGATGATATCTGTCACGCCTTGATGAGGTTTAATAATGATACTTCCATACATGGTATCCTCGTGCAGTTGCCTTTGCCTCAACATTTGAATACGGGGAGAATCTTGGATGTAATACGCCTTCGGAAGGATGTAGATGGTGTACATCCATTGAATATTGGTCATTTGGCTTTGCAGGGTAGAGAACCCTTGTTTATTCCGTGCACTCCGAAGGGATGCATCGAGTTACTTCTAAGATCAAATGTCGAAATTGAGGGAAAGCATGCGGTTGTTATAGGGAGGAGCAACATTGTTGGATTACCAATGTCTCTGCTGTTGCAGAGATACCATGCAACAGTAAGTATTGTGCATGCATTTACTAAAAACCCTGAGGAAATTACCCGGAAAGCTGATATTCTAGTTGCCGGAGCTGGAGTGCCTAATTTAGTACGTGGAAGTTGGATAAAGCCTGGCGCTTTTGTGATCGATGTTGGGACAAATGCTATTGAGGATCCAGACAGTGAAAATGGTTATAGATTAATCGGAGATGTTTGCTATGAGGAAGCTGTGAAGGTAGCTTCAGCAGTCACTCCAGTTCCAGGAGGTGTTGGACCTATGACAGTTGCTATGTTGCTATACAATACTCTTGAATCAGCAAAACGTATTTTCAAGTTTTGAAATTTAGGAACAAGTGTAACCCTGGAATATATCTGGTACATATATTCTGGCCAGTTCTCCTTTTTGCATATTCAATATGAATCTTATCTCTGTATATTTTGGTTTTGGTATGATATGGAACTTGAAATGCAGCACATCATTTTCAAAATCTTGTATTTAGTCATATATTAGAAACAGGGTTCTGTCTCTTTAACAACTATTATTGTATCTTATGACATAGACACTGCCAAGCATAACTGTTAATATCCATGCGTCTGGAGTGTTCAATGAGAAGGCTCTGGAGTACCTTTGGGAAAGAAGGTGTTGAAGAAGCGTTCTGCGAGCAATTGATTTGCAGCATCTGATGGATGGAAGGCATCCCAAAATACATAATCTCCTCTTTTACTGCATACCTTGGAGTTTGGGGCGCAAAGCCCGCCAATAGTTGTATTCACGTTGCAGCATGATGTTGTGGAGTCCTTAAAACCTGTGGAAAGCATAATTGATGTTAACATACTAATGCAGTTACTAATGTGCTGGGTTTTGAAGGAATTGAGTTACCATATGCTGTGGGGTTCTCTATCAAGTCCAAGACATCTTGATATGTGTCTGCAAATGTTAGTTTGGCTGATGGGAGATGTCCATTTAGGTTGGACATTAAGCTTTTTACTTTGGAATTGAATTCTTGTACCCATTGGTTCACTTGGTTTAAGCACATGCCCCTCTTTGATTTTGCCCTCTGGGACGGGATGCAGCCTAGGGGACCAAGGCCATGAAAGACTATTTTTCTTGCTCCAAGTTGGTACAGAGTCTGGCAAACCATTATTGCAAGTTTTGCAACGAATCAGAAGCCTGCTACCTGTATTTTTACAGTAGTTTCGAAGTGGTAATCTCATGGAATAAAACAAAATGGTTACTCACAGTTAATTGTTCGGCCAAAGTTGAGGTTAGAAGTTCCACAAAGTCATCATGTGTGTACTGCTGACTATCTGCTAAGAAAGGCTGAAGGTAATTGTTCACGTAGTCATTGCTACCTGGAAATTCAGCCAGAAAGAATGTCAAAGACATGTAAATATCAGATTAGAATTCGCAGTTGCTTCTGATTTCGGAACCAGAAATTGGGTAGTGTTGAGTTGTGGGACAAATGCTAGCAGAATGTGAAGGCCAGAAATAGAACGTTTGTTAGGATAAATGAAGGTAAGTACCGAGCCCAATAAAATAGAAGGCTTCATTGCAAAGCTTGTTTGCAGACTCTTCTCCAATTTTGTTCTTGATTGCTTCCTTTGTCTTCTTGAACAGATTGATTTGATCATCAAATGATAACCTCTCAATCTGAATTCACAGGAGGGAAGATTAGTCAAGCATATCAAAACCATGTTCAGATTAACTGAAAAAGAAGAATAAAGGCTTGGGAGGTTTACAAAGTAAAGGCCTGTTTCATTGAGGATCCCAGCTCCACCAGAGGCATAGTTTACACCCTTGAGGAGTGCATCATCTGTTGGCGATAAAGAAAGGTAAGGAGGAGTTGGTGGAATGCCCAGCTTTGTAGCTGCAGACAATGAAGATTGACCTTATTATCACATTATAGAGTTAAAATTACAGAAAATGAAGGTAAGTACAGGAACTAGAACATTGTTTTTGTCAATTGTTACCAATTATATCTCCAATAGTCCTCCCATTTGTGAATCTTCCTGTGACGTTTCCACCATTATAGTCAATACCGTAGTATGGATAGTTTGCTTTGGCTAGAGAGAGGGCCAAGTGGTTGTTATTCCCAACTTCTGCCAAGGAATCGCCAAAAACAAATGTAACCAATGATGCTGCTACTGGAACTGCAACTGTAATTGCAAAAATCAACACGATGAAAATGCTGAGAAGTAGTCCCTTGATCTGCATGACTTTTTTTTTTTTTCTTAGTTTTTGTAACCTGGCATGTTAAACATGAACGGAGTTACTGCAGGGTTTTAAAGCAACTATGAAGACTGTGCATGGTCTTACGAGTCAAGCCCATTTCTGTAAGTTTTCACAAAGTAGGTGATTAATTTCTAGTAGAAAAAAGAACTCATGTTTCTGTAATATTCAAAGGCTTCTGATCAAATGTTGTGGAAGCTCAAATTTGTAGCATTAGTAGTTGATGTTCTTCTAACGGTTGGCCAACTCATGTAACCAGGGCATTTGAAGGGTTTCCATGGTTTTCCTTTCTAGGCAAGACTAACTTACTTGGTGAATTTAATACATTACTAGTGCTTAAAGTAGTTAACTTCTTTGTTATTTCTTAACATTTTTTAATCTGTCCTAATGTGATATTGTTGAAAAAAGATTTTACTTAATTTACAGGAACCTCTTATAAACTACAAAACGTGCGACGAAGTTTCTGAAGTATGTACAACCAAACAAAAGAGAGAGAGATTTATAACTTCATAAGAGTAGATTTTTCTAAAAGAAGATGCTTCTTGTTCAAAGTTGAATCTATCTGCTCTTGCTTTTGAGTAGTTTTGAATAGTTAATGGAAAATCATACTGCAATCATTCTACCTTTTTTTGCCCATTATAGACTAGAGTAATGGAACTTTCTGGTGTATTATGCTTCTATAATATTGGGGCTGTATATCTTTTGCTTTTTGGCTTTTGGTAACACTGAATCCCCGATTGCCACCGTCATATGCAGACGGAACCTAGGCTAACATTAACAAAAGCGGAACCAATTCCCGGAAAGATGGCACCCATTAAAACTTTTTTTTATAAAAAAGTATACTTGAAATTTAAGACAAGAACAAGAATAAGCATTACTACTAGTTAGCAATGGCTATCTGGTGGTAAACATCTTTGAATAAAGAATCATCCCATGTGAAGCATTGTTTCTTTCCAACTCCCTATTCCTTTCTTTTTTCAGCAATCCTAGCTTTTTCCATTTTTAAGTCAACACCAGGTCTCTAGTGTCAAGTGAATAACGTTACCATATGAATAACGTTGGTTCCTTATAAGTTGTTTAGTGAGGTTAGGATCAAGAATTAGCGGAGCCATGTCAATTGCTTGTAGGGCGGGAAGTGTAATGGTGATAGGATGCACCCGTTGGACATGGAAACGGTGCACCTACATTGGTTCAGATTGCAGTGAAACATGGCCTAATGCCACCATGGAAGAATTTGAGCCCATCCCTCGAATCTGTCACGTAATTCTTGCAGTTTACGACCCTGATCCTGATCGCCCTAAATACTCTCCACCTAATCATTACCGCCTTAACCGTAATGATGCGGTCAAACGTGTTACATACGAGGAAACAGAAGGTCATTCGCCCCCTTACATAATTTATATTGATCATGAGTATCGTGAAATTGTACTGGCGATTCCTGGGCTGAACTTGGTTAGAAAGAGCCATTATAAGATACTTTTGGACAACAAACTAGGAAAGTAGAAGTTCGATGGAGGGTATGTGCATCATGGTCTGCTAAAGTCAGCAGTTTGACTGCTGAATCAAGAGTCTCAGAATTTGAAGAGGGTTTGGTTGGAGAATGGAGAGAGTTATCATATGGTTTTTGCCGGCCACTCACTGTGAGCTGGCATCGCAGCTCTGTTGACTGTGATTATGGTAAATCATAGGGACAAAACCCGGGGGATCCCGCGGGGAAATATTAGGTGTTACGCTGTAGCACCTGCAAGATGTATGTCTCTGAACTTGGCTGTGAAGTATGCCAATGTCATATATTCTGTTGTCTTGCAGGTAATCTCTCAAAAAGGATATTCTTTTGGATTTTTTTGGGATAGCTTGTCTTAGTCACGCGTGATGTTTTGCAGGATGACTTCTTACCAAGAAAACCAACCCCATTAGAAGACATATTTCAATCAATCTTTTGTCGAGAGAAGTTCTTGCAGGTAAATAAGCAAATGTCTCTCTTTTCAAAGTGATGTTCATGTCTACCTTTCATTCATTTATTTTTGCATTGGTTACTACTATAGCTTTGAGATCTTTATACTCTCTGTGTCCACATAGATCGCATCATTTTGTTTCAACTTTTGCACTTGTTTCTGTACTTAGTTGTGGTATAAACCCTCCAAAGGTTAACACAGCTATTCCCGTAGATGGAAGATTCGAACATATTGTGCTGTCTTGCAATGCTACATCAGACCATGCAATCATTCGGATATCAAATGAAACAGAGAAGTCACTGCAAGTAAATTCCCCGACCATTTCCTTTATGTTATGCCTGAGAGATCTTCTCACTTCACGCATTTGTTATTTAAGGAAATTCTCAGCATGCACATCTCCAGTTATTTTAAGAAGTTTGAAGTTTTGTTTTGAAGGTCTCCTATTGATACACACACGGGATTTCATGATTGATAAATAAATGGGAAAATTTGGACTAAGAATGGTAGAGAGATCTAAATTAATAAAAGGGGTGTAACTCTTCTAGAATTTGGATTAAAAACAGTAATTTAATTTTTAAAAATTATAAAGTTTAAAAATTTATCCTTTTACAGGATTGTTCTTATTTTTTGTTTAGTTTTTTTTTTTTAAAAAAAAAGAGAACAAAATCTTTTGGGCCGATAAGCATGCAAAATTGTTAATCGTATATAGGAAAGGAATTGTTAAACTAAAAAATGGACGCTTCTGGACCTTCTGGTACATTGGCCAGACCTTCTGGAATTAAGGTTAATAGCTTGAATGAGCTGAATTTGAAGAAGATAACATTAGGAGAGTGCTGGATCATTTGGAATATTTTATGCCGAAATAAATTATTGATTCTACAGAGAAGATGATTTCAGACATGAGGGAGAAGACAAAAAATGTTCATGAATTCATGTTGCAGCAAGGAAATACTTAAGGTTGGAGCTGGAAAAAGCTTGTTGGACAGAGCACTGAATACAACAAACTTTGCAAACAAAATAAAGCTCCCATGACGCTTCACTTTTCTGTTCAAAATTTATGGTTGATTATTTCTCATATCTTTGTGGTCATCAAATGCAAGAAATATGAGATAATCTACTGTATTTTGTTAGTCTTGTTGCTATAACGGAAAAAAAAAAAAAAGAAAAATGTCGCAACTTCACATTTTATGTGTAAATCAATTTACATCCTTTAATGTATAAATGTAGGAAAGATAACTCTGGTGATGAGCTTGCAACTTTGCTCGATTGTGCGTAATTTCGTAAACCTTTTTTTGTTTTGTTTCTCATAGGCTGAATTTTAACATTAAAAAAAATATTGACACTGTAGTTTTCATGCTTGATTATAAAATTTTCATGGAAAGGTAATATAAATCCAATTTTAATATGTAGAGAATCCATTTACAAAGTATTTTAGTCACACCCCTTTTATTTATTTAGATGTTTTCACCGCCCTTAATCCAAATTTTCCCATAAATTTATGGCAGATTCTTAAAGATGATGGTCACCACCAGTAGTTCCTAGAATTGAGAGGCTGAAAACCATTGAAGAAGAGCACAGAAATGCTCTGGAAAGAGCTGTCAGTTTGAAGATTCCCCATGCTGTAAAAGTAGAGGAAGAAAAGGAATCGGGCGACAAGGATACAAGTAGGGTGGCAGCACCCTCAAATGCAGGAGTTAACTGGAACGAATTAGTGGAGAAGTTGTTCAAAAGGAATGAGTCATGTCAACTAATTTTCAGCAGAGATTTTCAGCAGGAACGAATCAGTAGACTGCTTTTGCTGTTGTGTTCAAGTCTCTTAACTGGTCTCTTGACTGTTTCCTTTCCAAATCAGTAACCATGAAACATTTGCATACAAAAGCAAATACTCCTTTGGGTCCCAATAATAAAACACAGTTTCAAACTAACTTTAAAACACAGTATATTGTCCTTAATTAAAGGTGTTAGAATTATTTAAAAACAATTAAAAAAAAATCAAGCAGCAAAGCAGATAGTTGTCATACCGCAGTTGATATTATACTAGAAATGAAGTGTGACATTGAAAAACAGTTTAAACAGTAATAGAAAACCAGCACACTGCGTTTGAAATCCTACACACCAAACAAATATCAAGTTTAAGTCTACTTTAAGAGGGGGTTTTTTCTTTTGAAAGCAGAAAGATATTATTAATATCAACATGAAACAGTTACGCAGTGTCACTGCACCTAATTGCCAGACTATGAGCCTGGCCTACTTGACTTCTATCGACCTTGACTAACCTACAGACCGTAAACATGCAAAGATATTCAGCTAACATAGCAAGCATGTGACATTAAGACTAACATTAGTGACATTAAGCACTATTTTCCCCAGCTCTTCATTCAACCAAACTCTTTCGTCTACTGGCTCGGCACTTTGGATTGACCTAACAAAAGAAAGGAAAAAAGGAGATCAGTAGAAGATTGCTAACTGCAATATAAATTCTTCTGTTTCAGTTTTGCGTGAATCAAAATCAAATAAGGGTGGTTATGATGCTCAGTACTCCGGAGAAAATTAACCCAATCAATAAGGATCACTAGCATATTTTTAGAATTGAAAAAAAAAAAATGCACCCCTCTCTCCCTCCCATCCCCTGCCCTAATTCCAAATACAGAACAAAAGCAAAACCATACAGAAGGATGAATCACCGCATCAAGCTTCTCCAAGAATGATAACATAAAACTTAGCATTGCCACAACAACAAAAAAAGTCATTGCACACACCAGGCAAGAAACAACCCTTAGATGCCTCATAAACTATCCACAGCAAAACTATCTTAACAAATTTAGGAGCAAATATCACTACATTTTAAACAACGGACAAAAACAAGGCATACTACCAATTTTGAGTGAAAGAAAGTGATGAAAATAGCAAATCAACATGCATAACTTAAAAGGAGTGATAAATGGAAACTTGGAAGAAAGCAATAAATTAATACAATAGAATTACGGTTTATAGTTTCTGCAAACCAAAATGACACTTCTTGTGCAGAAAAGAAAAAACCCAAAACACTCACTACAAAATAACTAGCATTCCCTCCGTCCCAAAATGTGATTGACCTATTCGGATTTTCACTTTTAATACAATTTGAACAAAAAAACCCAGACGGATTACTAAATAGAGAACGCATATCAAACGATTCAGCGTCTTACATTTTTTAGCTTTTTTAGGATTAAGGGCGGTTACAACCTCACAAATTATTTGAAGATGTTTCTTGGCAGCGCGAGAATCTGCTCGCGCAGCGTCCCTCTCTGCCATCAAAATGCTGATAGTTAATTTACCTAGTTAAAAGATAACTGAATAAATAAATATTCCCAGGCGCTCAAAAAGACACCTTTCTCCCTCTCAATTCTTAGGCATCTTTCAGCATTATACGCCGCCTGTATAGCAGTCAACGCCTCCGTCAAAAGAGCCAAATCGCCATTTGCAGCTATAGCTTCATTAACGAGACCTTGAACATGGTCATGAGCTTCATCTGCCATGGCTGAAGGGAAAACCAAAACAAAATTTCGATAGCCAACAACAAAGTGACCCCAGATCCAACGAAATCATAGATATATATATCACATATGAATTTTGAAATTAGGAGGATAAACAATACCAATTCAATTGATGCCAAGCTAAAGCGAATTTGAAATCTACCTTATAATAGAGTCGAGAACGAAATGATAACCGAAAGAAAACTGAGCGGCGACAAACAAGTAAAGGATAACGACTGAAAAGGGAACTTTGAATTAGGGTTCCGGGAGAAACAAATGTGAAAACAGGTTTTCTATTGACAATAAATATTTTACAGATACTCCCGTCTTATCTCACTTGTTTTTTGCGTATGACATAGTTTTGTTTGTAGAATCCTCTTTACAGCAGGTGGATGTGATCACTAATGTTCTTAATTCCTTTTACAGAGCATCAGGAAAGAGAATTAATACTTAGAAAACAAAAAAAATTTTCTCAAAAAACACCTCTCGCTAGACGCAATCTCTGATTAGTGAAGCTTTTGGTTATGGGGAAACAACAACTTGGGGAAATATTTGGGGGCTCCAATAGTACATGGACGAGTCACCAGAGACACCAAGAGACATTAGATAAAGTCAGAGTGAAACTTTCTGGGTGGAAAGCCAATCAGCTGTTACTAGCCGGTCGTGTTACACTAGCGTAATCTGTTCTACAGTCTATGCCTACGTTTCAAATGCAATAGACTAAGTTGCCTCTTCACATTTGTGATGAAATTGATAAAACGATTAGGGGCTTTGTATGGGGATCCACGAGGCAAAAAAAAAGGTCGTGCTGTTGAGCGCCCTAATTTTTTCATTTAAACGCCCGAAAAAGACGTACACGCCTCTAAAAAAAAATATATGGCGAGGGATAAATGAGCCACCCCCTTAAGGGGTGGCGAGAAAACCTTCGCCACATGGCGAAGGTGTGGCGCCCTTCTGGGCGCCACATTTGTGCTGGTTGGCGAGCAAATTTCTCGCCAACCAAAGGGTGGGTGGCGCCATTTTGTGCGC